TGTGTTTGTTGGAGCTTGTCCATTTCATTTGGGATACCCAGTGTGTTGGTATGCGCTTGCTAGTAGTACTCTGATTCTTTGCACTTCTGTAAAATGTCCTCCTTTCATTTTTGATTTTAGGAATTTGAGTCTTGTCTTTCTTTTTCTTAGTTCGTCTAGTTGAAAGTTTGTGAATTTTGTTGATCTTTTTCAAGAACTTTTGATTTTTTTTTTGTCATTTTTATTCTTGATTTCATGTATCTCTGCACTAATTGTCATTATTTTCTTTATTTGTGAATTTTGGATCATCTTTTGTCTTTTTTTTTTTTTTCCCTCTTAGTTAATGTCATAGGGCACATGTGCTTTCCAGAGAGTGTGTGTGGGGGTGTGTGGACCACCACATGCGCAGTAGATAGATAAAGGAAAGTGAGAAATGACCCTCCCACCCTGGGGGGGCCTGCCACACCACAATCCCTTTTCCCCAGAGGGTATTTCAAGTCACCAGTCTGGGATTTGAACTTTGCTGTTGGCCATGTGAGATCCAGTTACCATAACCACCACACCACTGACTGGCCCTACTTTGTTTTCTTTTCTTTAAATTGTAAAGTTACGTTGTTGACTTGAGATTTATTTATTTATTTATTTTAATTATTGCCAGAAGGGGTGTGTGTGTGTGTGTGTGTGTGTGCGCGAGAGAGAGAGAGAGGTCCCTAGTAGGAGGATGTGGTTGCACCACAACCCCTCTCCTTTATTTCTTCATCCTATTGAGATTTCGAGCATGCGCACACATGCATCCAGGATGTTTTTCAAGCCATTATGGCTAGAATTTGAGCTGTGGTCGGCCATGTGAGATCTGACCTACCCCCCTCCCTGCCCAGAGATTTTGCTATAGGTCATATGAGCTCGCCAAAGAGACAGTGACAAAAAGCGAGGAATCACATCCAAGGGAGGATGGCTATGCTGCAATTCCTTTTCTTCCCTTCTCCTCTTGGGATTTTTGGGCACTCACGCACATGTGCCTGGTATGAATTTTAAACCACAGGGACCAGGACTCAAACTGTGGTCAATTACATGGGAGTCCAGCAATGTAACCATTACGCCATCTGCCATTCCTATAGATCTGGTCTCTTTCACCATCAGGTTATTCATGGGGCCAGCTCCTGCTCTTTTTTTGTTTTGTTTTTAAATTAACTTATTTACATTTTCTCACAAACATTTACTTTACAGATGAGAAAAATTTTGCTCATATGTCATAGTTCTTGAAAGTTAAACAAATTTCAACATTTCAAAAAACAACTGAATTTTAAAAATAAGTTTCAAAATATTTGTTTTAATTTTGTGACTCTACAACAGAGACAGGATGATTTTAATTTTTTAATATTCATTCTGCAGATATTTATTATAAAATAGTGTGCCTCATTCCACACCAGACACTGGGAAGGTTTTTAAATATTTTTGAGAAAATATTTACATGTCAACTACTCAAACTTCGAGAGGCAAACACCCAGCACACAATTCACACATGGACCTTCCCAACTCAGCTCTGCCTACCAAGTATTCTGTGGTTTACCATCTGCTAGCAAAGGTCAGCCTCTTTTTCTTCCTTCAGTCTTCCTCAAGGTGATCCTCTGGTTGTGGCTGCTCTTTTGTAATCTCTGCTGATTACAGTGTTGTGCTGGAAAAGTTCAGGTTATTTTAGGGTACGGGTTCTTTCATATGGCTTCTCTAATCCTTTCTGCCAGGCAGAAGTGTTTATGGTGCCAGGCTGTCTTTCTAAGAGCTTCCATTTGCTTTCTTGAGATCTACCTTAGTTCCTTAGTTTTCTGGTCATATCTTCAGATATGACATCCCAGTGAAAGCCCTGACAATAACAAGTATTTCCAATTTCTGATGCAAGACGACACTCACGTGAGATCTGGCTCCCTTAACCAGATCTCTTGTTTTTTAACATAAATGTTTGGGGGTAAGAATTTTTCCTTTTTCATTCCTTTTGTGGTGTCCCATAAATTTTACTCTATTGCTTTTTTATTTTCTAATTTTTCTTGTGATTTCTTCTTTGATCTATTGTTTATTAGAGAGTATATTGTGGGACCAGCGGTGGCATGGTAGTTAAGGCACTGGACTCCCACATGGTCAACTGCAGTTTGAGTCCAGGCCTGGCAGCTTGAAAAAACTCAGGGTGCTGGGACCAGCAGGTGGTATGATGGTTAAGACACTGGACACTCCCACATAGCCCACCATTGTTTGAATTCTGGACCTGGTGGCTTGCTTTCTCACTTTCCCCCTCTCTCTCTGTCTCTCTCTGGTGAAATTAAAATGAATGAATAAATTAAAAAACATCAACAAAAAAACAAACTCAGGCTCATGTATACACATGCCCCAAATCCCATGAGAATAGAGGAGAAGGGATGGTGGCCTGGCCTTCCCACCAGGGGATGATTTTTCACATTGTCTCTCACTGTCTCTCACTGTCTCTCTCTCTCCCTCCCCCCCTCCCCCACACACCCATGAGCACATGAGCACTATGGCAAAAACCTAAAAAATAAGAGTAATTTAATTCTTCATAGATATGTGAATTTTTCAATTTTTCTTCTGTTACTTAATTTCTATATTTGGTGAGAGAAGATACTTTATCTGTGATAATAATCTATCTTTAAGTCAGTCGACAATTGATTTGTGTCTTTAACTTTTTTTCTTTTTTCTTTTAGAGAGATTTTTGCTATAGGGCGCATGCGCTCTCCAGAGAGACAGAGAGAGACAGAGAGACAGAGAGACAGAAAGGGAGAAATCACCCCCCAGGGGGAATGGCCACACCGCAATCCCTTCTCCATTCTCTTCTTGGGATCTTGGGCATGCACGCACACACGCCTGGCATGAGTTTAAGCCACCAGGTCTGGTACTCGAATCCCGGTCGACTACATGGGAGTCCAGTGACATAGCCATTACGCTAACTGCTCGTCCTGTGTCTTAACATTTTGTACTGGACTATGTATGCTGTGCATGGAGAAGAATGCGTAGTGTGTTCTGTATGTGTTTGTTAAATCTGTTGGGTAGTCAGAAAAGTCATGACGCATTTCTGTGTAGAAAAACGTAGAAAAAACGTCATAACTTTTCCCACGGCCCAATAGTTGGTTTATTATGTAGTTTAAGTTTTTTCTTTCCTTATCTATCTCTGTTCTGTTTGTAACAGAGTGGGCTACTAAAGTCTCTTACCCTTACTACAGATCTTTTTTTTTAAAAAGAATTGTTTTATTTAACTTTATTTTAACTTGATCATATAGGGACAGAGAGAGAGGGAGAGAGATGGAAAGTGAGAAAGTAAGCCGCCAAGTCTGGGACTTTACTCGCGGTTGGCCACGTGGGAGTCCAGGGCCCTTAACCACCATGCCACCTGCTGGCCCCTTATTACAGATCTTATTTCTTCCTTTAATTCTGTCAATTTTTGCTTCATATTCTCTTTATCATTAAATTTTTTTTTATTATTTAAAAAATTTTCCACAGGGCTTGTGGCTTGTAGTGTAGTGGTTAAGGGAACCAAATCTCAATGTGACTGATTTTGGATCAAATCCTAGCCCTCACTGCTTGAAAAACACAAGATGTGTGTGGGTGCATGGCCAAAATCCCGATAAAATGGAGGAAAAGGAGTTGCAGTATGGCCATGCCCATCAGGGTATTTCTAGCCTTTGTTTTTCTCTCTGGCCAGTTGCATATGCCCTCTGGCAATTGAAAAAAAAAGGAAGAGAGAGAGAACCACCCGTTAAGATATGGGTTAAGATATGGTTACACTGCAGAACTTTCCCCTCCCATTTCCCCATTCCTTCAGGCACGCATGCACATGTATTCCAAAGTTATGTACATGGTAAGTGGCATAGCATTCCAGGATTCTAGGTCTCTGACTCCTTACCTCTTGCGCCTTCACCTCCTTAGAAACTGAGAAACTGCAGGTGGGAGGTGGAGAGTTGTTCATATCTGGGAGCACTTAATCCTTTGAGCATACTTGTGAGTAATTTTGTCTTTAGTATAGATCACTTACATGACTTCAGCGTTGGCAAGGTACTTCTCTTCCCCCAACTCCCCATATATCTTTGAACATCATTTTAGGTCAGATCCTGGGCATCATATTGTGATATGGTGATGAACAAAAGGCCGTGCTCTATTTTATTATTTTTTTTCTTGCTATAGGGTAAGGAGTGTGTACTCACTAGAGACAGAGAAAGTGAAGAAGCACTCCCCCGGGGGAATGACCACACTGCAATTCTTTCTCCTACATTCTCTCAGGGTTTTGGATACGCACGCATATATGAACACGTGGTTTTCAAGCCGCTGGGTCTGGGACTCAAACTGTCCAGTCTGCTATGTGGGATCCATCTGCCTTAACCACCATGCCACCTGGCTGGCCTTTTTGTCCTTGGGGGAGGTTTTTCACCCCAGGAATCTTGGTGTAAGTTAGAGAACATCTCCTATTTCTGAAACTGAAATAGCCAGACGACTCATTTCCTCAGTCTCCCTTGCATCTGGTCTCAGGCATAAGACCTACACTCAGCCAACTTATACCCCTCTGCTCTAAACCCCAGTCAGGATCTGGAGACCCGTAAAAGCAGGGAGAATGAGAGATTCTGCTGAGAGCAGTGATTGCTGTCATACCTACTGTCCAGGCACACCAGCAGTTGTGGGCAGCAACTGGTTATACCCCATGCTGGCAGAGTTAATGGTGCAAGTTGTCATGACTCAGGCCTAATATGACTGCACAGTGGAAGTAAGGTGCTTTAAATGCCCACAGCACATTTTTTTGTTGGAAGTTAATAGTATTGAGGAGGCATAAAGTATTCCCGTTAGCTTTGCAGTGCTTGGTTGTAACATGTTGATTGAGAAAAGCTCTCTCCCCTGAGACATTTAGTTTTTCAAAGGGAGCTTTGGAATACTTGGACCATTGAATTTCTTTGAGGTGTTGGTTTTCCCTGTCCCCCGTGAGCTAAGAGTAGAACATCATGGTGACAAGACAACTGTTTCTTTTGTTCTAGGAGAATGACCCATCTGTGAGACTGAAGATTGCCTCATTGTTGGGTTTATTATCAAAGACAGCAGGATTTTCCCCAGACTGCATTATGGATGATGCCATTAACATCCTGCAGAATGAAAGTAAGTTGCAGTGGAAAAGCTCGGTAGGCAGAGCCAGCATCATCAGTTCCCTTCGTGTGGAATTGTGTTGTGTTATAGAAGGGATTTGAGGATGGTTCAGTAAAGCTCTGTACATGTATTTCTACTAGAGTTCAAATTTCCTCTTGCTAGGTATCATTCATTGACCTTTACCAAGTGCCACCTAAAGGTCGTTTACATATGATATAAAATAGATATTTTTGTCTCTGTTTTATTAGTAGGGAAACGGAAACTCAGAGATGTTAATTCCCTTGTTCAAGGTTATGTGGTGTGTGGTGCAGCTGATGCTTTGCTCTCTGCCACACTAGCTCAGGAAACACAAGAGTACTGTCCTAGTTGTGTGGTCTGTCACAGTTTAGAAAAATGACATCTCTCAGGTCTCCTATGCATCATATTTCTTTTCCTATTAGTTCCTTTGTATGCTCAATATATTCTTGGAAATATATGTTTTCTTTCTTTTTAAAATTATTTCATTTTTATTTATTCATTCATTTATTTTAATTCGACCTGAGAGAGACACAGAAAGAGAAAGAAAATGAAAAATCAAGGGGGACCAGCAGGTGGTGTGGTGGTTAAGGCGCTGGACACTCCCACATGGCTGACCAGGGTTCAAGTCCTGAATCTGGTGGCTTGCTTTCTCACTTCCTCTCTCTCTCACTCTCACCCTCTGTCTCTCTCTGGTCAAACTAAAAAATAAATGAATGAATAAATAAAATAAAATAAATAATTATAAAAAGAAATAAAATAAAATGAAAAAGCAAGTCATGGGGCCCAGGACTCGCACCATGGTTGGCTACACGGGAATGTCCAGTACTTTAACCACCACGCCACTTGCTGGTCCTCGAAAATATATATGGTTTCTAAAATATAGTCTTACTACTTAGATGAAGCAGAGTCACCAGACACAGAGAGACAGAGAGAGAGAAATAACCCCAGGGGGATGACCACACCACAGTCCCTTCTCCTCTGTTCTCCTCTTGGGATTTTGGACACATGCACATGTGCCTGGCATGAATTTGAAGCCACTGGGTCTGGGACTTGTACGGCAGTCAGCCATGTGAGAGGTCAGCACTTTAATCATTGCACCACCCACTGGTCCCCCTTTTATTTATTTATTTAAATTGCCATAGGGCACATGTGCTTAACCACGCCACGATCCCTTCTTCATTTTTCATCCCATCAGGATTTTGTGCATGTGTATATGTGTGCCAAGCGTGAATTTCAAGTTGTGGGGGCCGAGATACAAACTGTATTCAGCCTTGTGGAATCTAGATGTCTTTAGCAGTAGGCCAGAGGACTCTGGCCTCACAGAATTGTCTGCGCATTGCTTCAAGGTTGAGTTTCCTTGACTACAGTTTTTTGTATCAGCCCAGAATACTGAAACAGCTCTTTTTTTTAAGAGATTTTTGCTATAGGGTGCATGAGCTCACCAAAAAGATAGAAAGTGAGAAATCACCCACCAGGGGGGATGGCCACACCACAATCCTACACCACAATCCCTTCTCCTCCATTCTCTTCTTGGGATCTTGGGCACGCACGCACACACGCCCGGTGGCACACACGCCCGGTGTAAGTTTAAGCCACTGGGTCCAGAACTTGAATCGTGGGTGACTACATGGGAGTCCAGTGATATAGCCATTACACCAACTGCTAGTCCCCAGCTCTTTTGACTCCCTAATAGTCAACATTTGCAGCTAAATTCTTTAGGTTCGCATTTCTCTCAAGGATGAGTAATTTACAGTGCTTTACTAATCTTATTTCCTTCCTCATTTGTTCAATAGAATTTATTGTAATTTCAAAGAATACCTTTATTTCATTTTGGAGTGTAAGTATTTATACAAATATCAGCTTTTAACTATTGGCAACATTCGTCTATGAACTTAAACTCAGAGTAGTGAAGATGAGAATTCAGACAATTTTAATTTATTTATTGTACAGATATTTTCTTTTTTTAAGAATTATTTTATTTAACTTTATTTATTTAAATTTGACCAGAGAGGGACAGAGTGAGAAAGAGAGAGAGAGGGAAAGTGAGAAAGCAAGCTGCCAGGTCCGGGACTTGAACTGTGCTTGGCCATGTGGTGGTCTAGCGGTGTCCTTAACCACCATGCCACTTGCCAGTCCATGTACAGGTATTTTCTGTTTTTAAAAATTTGCTAGAGGATGTGTGTACTCACCAGAGACAGAGAGACAGAGAGAGGGGAAAAGTGAAAAATGGCCCCTAGTGGGAATGTGCATGCCACAGTCTCTTCTCCTTCGTGTGGTGTTTTGCAATTTTGGGCCCGCATAGGGCGCCTATGTGTGTTTCAAGCCATTGGGTCCAGACCTTGAACTGTACATTTGGCCATGTGGGATTCAGTTGCCTTAACCACCACGCTACCAGCTGGCCTTATTGTACAGCTATTGAATAGGAACAAATATACGTATGATACCGTATGTACCATACATACATGGGCCACTGGCTAAAGTTGAGAATTTTGAAAATTTGTAAGAAATTTGGGACTAGCAGATGATGTAATGGTTACGTCGCTAGACTCTCATGTAGTTTACCATGGTGTGAGTCCTGGACCTGGGGCTTAAAACTCACACCAGGTGCCTGTGTGTTCCAGATTTAAAGAGGAGAATGGAGGAGAAGGGATTGCAGGGTGGTCATCCCCCTGTGGGGAGTGATTTCTTGCTTTGTCTCTCTGGTGCCTCTCCGCATGTGCCCTATAAAAATCTCTCTCTTTAGAAGAAAAACAAATTATATTAGAATTTTACTTGAATTGAATTCTTTTTTTTTTTTTTTGAGAGGTTTTTGCTGTAGGGCGTGTGGGCTTGCCAGAAAGAACAGAGAGACAGAAAGCGAGAAATCACCCCCAGGGGGGATGGCCACGCTGCTGCAATCCCTTCTCCTCCATTCTCCTCTCGGGATCTTGGGCATGCATGCACATGCACCCAGCATGAGTTTATGTCACAGGACTCAAACCATGGACTGCTGGCCCCACTTGAATTGAATTTTGATCTAATAGGTTTTTTTTTTTTTTTTTTTAAGTGGTTTTTGCCTTATGGTATATGGACTTGCTGGAGAAAGAGAGAGGGAAAGTGAGAAGTCACTCCCTGGGGGGGATTTATTTATTTTAATTGCCATAGGGCACATGTGCTTCACCACGCTACAATCCCTTCTTTATTTCTCATCCCATCGGCATTTTGTGCATGTTTATATGTGTGCCAAGCATGATTTTCAAGTTGTGGGGGCCTAGATACAAACCATATCTGGCCATGTGGAAATCAGATGTCCATTCTGTTCCTCCCAGAGTTCATTTTACTCCTGGGATCTTGGGCATGTATGCACTCACACCGAGCATGATTTTGGGGCCACTGGGTCCGGTACTTGAACCACAGTTGGCCGGGTGGGAGTCCAGTGACATAACCATTACGTCATCTGCTGGTCCTGATTCAGTAGTTTTAATTCATAGGACACAATGAAAATATTCCTTCCACCACCATGAGGGAAATCTGTTTTACTAAAATGCCAATATAATGACATTAAAGAAAAAAAATCCTACTTCCATAAAGATTTTTGGGCCAGCCCTATCGAGCGGCAGTTGGGTGTTAGGCTGAGAGAGGAGATTCCGCATGGCTGACCACGGTTCAGAGCCCTGCCCCAGCAAATTGTGAACACACCGGGCACGTGTGCCCAGGATCCTGACAGGATGGAGAAATGGGGATAAAACGATTGTGGCAATACCAGTGTCGGTGGGGGGCTGCTTTTCCTCTGTCTCGCTCTTTTGCATGTACATGTGCTCTCTGGCAAAAGAAAATAAAAACGCCCGTGTTTTACATGCTACCTTTTACTTATATTCTTTTTATATGGTTGTACTTACAGTAAATACAGAATTTTATGTTTAAAAAAATTTTTAAAGAGATTTTTGCTACAGGACGCATGCGCTCACCAGAGAGACAGAAAGCGAGAAATCACCCCCCAAGGGGGATGGCCATGCCACCATCTCTTCTCCATTCTCCTCTCAGGATCTTGGGCACACATGTACACATGGCTGACATGATTTGTAAGGCCCTGGGTCTGAGACTCAGACTGCGGTAAACTGTGGGAGTCCAGCAACCGAATCATTATGCCATCTGCTGGTCCCTGTTTTTATTTTATTTATTTATTTACATTTTTTTAATACATTCATTCTCATTATTTAGCTTACAAGGTGATCATTTCAATATGTGAACATTTCTCCCTGGTCCAGTTGATCAAAATATAACAACACTACCTCCCTGTCTCAACAATGCTGTCTCCGTATCCCTCCTCCAAATGTTTTTCCCCAGGCCCCACTCCTCCACACACACCACATCTGACATTCACACCCATCTCTTGTGTTTGTACATCCTTTAACCCGTCAGTTTCAGTTACAGAGTGCGGACGCTCGGTATATATTAAGTGGGGACATACAGTGACTCTCCTTCATAGCTTGGCCTGAGTGAAGCAAGCCAGGTCCCTGTTTTTAAAAAAAAAAAATTAAAAATTTTTCTATAAGGTATGTTTACTAGCTGGAGAGAGACAGAAAGTGGGGTGGAAGGAGTGAGAAGCCCCCCCCCCCCAGGAGGGGTGGCCATACCACATTCCCTTCTCTACCCTTCTCTTCGGATTTTGGCACACATGTGAACCCATTATGTTTTTCAAGCTCCCGGACTCAGACTGCAACCGTGCAGTTGGCCATGTGAGCTCTAGTCGTTTAATTACTATGCTACCAGCTCGCCTCTACATTGTGTTTTACTATATTCAAGGTTATATGCAATTTTTTCTTTGTATCTATTTGCCTTCTTTTTTAAAAAAATAATTATTTTATTTGTTATTTAAATTTGATCAGCGAGAGACAAAGGGGGTGGGGGGAAAGTGAGAAAGCCAGCTGCCAGGTCTGCAACTCAAACCGCAATTGTCCATGTGGGAATCCAGTGCCTTAACCACCACGCCAGCTGCCAGCCCCCAGAATCTACTTTCTTGACCTATTTAAATTAGTTTCTATAATGATCGCCTTTGAAATTCTACAACCCAGCTTTCCATCTTCTTTACAGAGTCTCATCAAGTCTTAGCCCAGCTGCTGGACACTTTGCTTGCAATCGGCACTAAGCTACCAGAGAGTCCGGCTGTCCAGATGCGATTGGTCGACGTAGCCTGCAAGGTAGGAGTGTGCTGTTTAGACACAGGGTTGCTTCTTTTCTGAGTAGTTTTTACATTATTGGGAGAAGTGATGGGAGCTGTAAAATCTGTTCAGATCCTTCTTAAACCTGTAACTAAGAATGACTAGAACGCTGAATGGCTTCAAGAGATGCCTCATTTCTTTTTTTAGTGTTGGGTTAGGAATAAAGATAAATAACTTGTTATTAAATGAGCTTCCTCATGCTCCCAAAAGAAATGAAAGTAATTGCAATAGGTAGCTGCCACTGTATTGTCCTGAGTGATGTATTCTGCTTATGCTACTTTATAGTTGGGTTTTCGCTGGATCCTTGCCATTCTTTAGGTAAGTACTGTTATGGGCATGGCTCGGTCTCTGGCCCTGGCTCGGTCTCTGGCCCTGGCTCAGTGGCGCTGGGGATGGCGCGGCACCTCGCACTTTCCTTTAATCATGTCCTTTTGCTCTCTCTTTCTTCACAGCACCTAACAGATACCTCCCATGGCGTAAGAAATAAGTGCCTACAGTTACTTGGCAACCTTGGCTCTTTGGAGAAAAGTGTTACCAAAGATGCAGAAGGCCTAGCTGCCAGAGATGTCCAGAAGATTATAGGGGATTATTTCAGTGACCAAGATCCGCGTGTCAGGACAGCAGCTATAAAAGCCATGGTAAAAGTGATCCTGGAAACTAATTGGGGATAGTTTTATGTTTGTTTTTGAAGAGTTATTTAATTTAATTTATTTTTATTATTTTTTAATTTCACCAGAGAGACAGAGGGAAGCAGAAAGCAAGCTGCCAGGTCCAGGGCTTGAACTGTGGTCAGCCATGTGAGAGTCCAGTACCTTAACCACCACACCACCTGCTGGCCCTTTCTGTTTGTTTGTTTTTTAAGCTCAAGGCTAGTGCTGCATTTGGATCCACTCTGATTCCCCCAGCACTCACTCTACGCACACTTTCAGGAATGCATTTGTGTTGGCATTACAGAACTCAGTCACGTGTTTCTGTATAACAGGCATGTTTTTCTTTGAGCTTCTAAGTTAGCTTTCTTCTGTATTTCTGAAACATGAAAGGTGCATCCTATACCCGTTACAATATAACACCGAGTCCCAACCTCCTCAAGGTCCCACTTTAGAAGGGAGGGATATGACATGGTACTATTAAGATTGGCACAGGTTGTACCTTCCATGTTTCAGAAATACATATGAAAGTTTCCAGGGGAGGGTGCTCTTTAGGAGAAGATGTTATACCGATTTCTCCTTTAGCCGCCTTGTTTAATTCATCTTTTTCTACTACCCTTTTGGACAGACCAAGGGTTATATTTATTAAATGCTCGAATACTCCTACTGAAAAATCCTTGACCAGATTTTTAATTTCTGTAGCATTTATTTGGCTATAGGAAATATATTGGTCTGATATAATGGAGGAAAATGTGTGAGATTGTGTGGAGACATTGGAAATAGTGTCTCTTTTCTCAACTACTGAATTCTCTCTCTGTTATCTAGTTGCAGCTCCATGAAAGAGGACTGAAATTGCACCAAACAATTTATAATCAGGTACTTTAAGTGGTTGCTGTCTGGAAGTGGGGAGGAGGTACATGGTACTGGGTGGGTGGCACACAATTCTTAGAATTTGAAAACCCAAGACTCAGCTGACTACTAGTGGCGCTACAAATGGGGTTGTATGTGAAGTCATATCCAGAACATTCTTTTCAGAGAGAGGGTGGGATATGTATGTCATGAGTAGTGCTAGTACTTACGCAATGGGCTTTTAGTAGGGTTTGGTAGTGCCATGTGAATGCCATAGGGCATGAAGGAGAGCATCATGCTGGAATAGGAAAAGGGGAAGTCTTGCTGATCTTTCTTTGCTTGGCCCATACATGGAGTTACTCTGGACACTACGCTTGACAAACTAGAATATTTCCGGAGGAGGATGACCAAGACCATGGGAGCATAAGAAAAGAAGTTGAAGGAGTGTAGTTTTAGAAAAGAAAGGCATGAGGACGTGGGAAATCTGACTGTCAGCTTAACCGAAAGGCTTTACCAGGTGGTGTTTTTCTTGGGGAAGAATGAATGAATCTAGTGGCAGGCAATCTCACTTCATGTTCAGAGATCAGACGTTAGTCTACCAAGAGTGAGTGGTTTTTCTATTGCAGAAGAGGATACTGAGCCAGGCCTCTATGACTGCTGTGTAAACTAAGTTTATTCTTTTATAAAATGAAGTAGAAGGGTCCAGAATGCCTGTGTTAGTGACCATCACCCTCTCTCCCTCTAGGAAAACTAGGTGGGGAGCTAAATGGTTAAAGGAAACTTGGAGTGAGGACACAGTAAGGATTCAGATGTTGAGTGGCACAGGACAGTGTCAGTAATTGAGATAAGCAGTGATGGGGTCTCATTGGAGCGAGGATGGACTGATTGGAGGATCTGGGAGATAAGGTAGAATTTGGGTCCATGAGTTCAGTTTTGATTACATTGAATTTGAAAGTTTAGTGGGACCTCCATGCACAGAGTTGTAGGCTATAATAGTTATGTGGGTCTAGAACTTAGGAGAAATCAGAGCCGGAGGTGTGTATTTGGAGCCAACATGGCCTAGAGGACTTGGGGGTACCCAGAAACACTGACTAGATTGATTTTAGACCAAAGCAAATTAGAATAATTTGGCTTCTTTTCGCTGTTAGCATTAAAACGAAACATTTATGTCAAGTGCTTGTTTTCAGAGAGTCAGTCAGAAATGTGTGGTCTTACGTTGTAGGCCAGGAAAATCCCAGTGTTTGATTGTGAGCCTGTAAGAGTGATACAGTGGGCTCCCAGCAGACTTTGCTGGGCAGGATGCTGTTCTAGATGGGTTTTTAAAAAATGGTGTCAGTGTGTGGTTCTGCTTTCAGATATGGGATGGGAGGTTGCACAGCTTGATTCCAGCCAGGGTGGCTGACAGAGGCCAGGGGTTCTTTGTTGGGGAAAAGTTAAAGAAATTAAAGCCACCCACAAGTGTTTGGTGACATCCTTTCCCAACCACACTGGCTTCATTTTAGAAATAGTTGGGACATCACCTGGGAGGGTACAGAACTAATAGACTTTGGGACCGTCCTTCACAGGCCTGTAAGTTGCTCTCCGATGACTACGAGCAAGTGCGCAGTGCCGCAGTCCAGCTCATCTGGGTTGTCAGTCAGCTCTATCCCGAAAGGTGAGTGTGGGCGTAAGCCAGCTTCCGTTCACTGCTAAGTGATTTTTCTGTCCTCCCACCGTGCAAAAGGCCTACCTCCAGAAGAACATTGCTCGGATTTTTGGAAAGAGGGGTGGAATGGGAGAGAAATGAGGATGTCTGGTCCTTGTTTTTCAGCTCTGGCATGAACTGTGTGTCCTGGGAAAAATATAGCCGTCTTGGAGTCCCAGCCTCCTCATCTCTGAATGAAGAGACTGGACTCTCTTTCTTAAGAGCTTTTTGTCACTTTTTCCCCTTAAATCTTTAGAAGGGTTTGGTATCCATTTTAGTTTAGTATAATTTAAGTCAAATGTGACATCAAGTTATCAGATGAGTTTGAGAATAACGATCCTTTATGTGGTGTTTTCCTGGTTAAGTATTTTTTCACAGCAACTAAATAATTGATTCTCACTGTGATTCTTTGAAATGGAGAGACAAATATTTTGTTTTTTAGGAGAGCTTCTTCACTTGACTGCATGTCCAAATCTGAAAACCAGAATGATTTTAAACTACATGAATAGGCTTAATTTGTAACTTATTTTTTTAAAAAGTTATTTACTTTTATTTATGATGGTTATTATTATTTTTTAATTCGACCAGAGAGACAGAGGGGTGGGGGGTAGTGAGAAAGAAAGCCACCAGGTCTGGGACTTGAACCATGGTCGGCCATGTAGAAGTCTAGCACCTTAACCATCATGCCACCTGCCAGCCCCCACGTGTAGCTTATTAAGACTTAGACACACACACACACACACACACACACACACACACACACACACACGACTAATTAAAAATTGTCTCTTCTTTTAGGACCAGATATACAAGTATGTTAGTTATTTAGTTATTTATTTTAATTTGACAAGAGAAGAACAGAGAGAGAGAGGGAGGGAGGGAGAGAGGGAGGAGAGAGGGAGAGAGGGAGAAAGGGAGAGAAAGTAAGATATCAAGCCACAAGTTTCAGGACTTGAACAATGGTCAGCCATGTGGGAATCCAGCACTCTTAACCACCTCGCCACCTGCTGGCCACTATATTGATTTATTTTGAGGAGCCAGCAGATTGCAGGGTGGTTAAGGTGCTATATTCCCACATGGCCGATGACAGTTTGGGTTCAGGACTGGTGGATTGAAAATCATTCTGGTGGGTTTGTGTGCATGCCCCAAGTCCTGAAATGAGAATGGAGGAGAAGGGATCGTGATGTGCATCCCTGCTGGGCAAAAACAAAACCAAAATAGTTATATATACATAAATTATATATATATATTTTATATATATAATACTTATCTTGACATTTACTATATAGTAGTTTCATTCTAGGAAATAGTAAGTTTAAAGATATAAAATAAAATACTCTGTGGTAGCTAATGTTTGGTATCTTCATAAATCTTTGAGGCCTTACACATTTCTATTCTCGACTCTGAAAATTTGTCCTCCAACTGAAAGGGTTAGTTTGTACTTTCAGTATGATTTGTTTACTCTGAAGTATATTTCCTTTTTTTCTCTTTTTTTAAGAGAGATTTTTGCTATAGGGTGCATATGCTTGCCAGAGAGACAAAGACAGAGAGACAGAAGCAAGAAATCACCCGTCATGGGAGATGGCCACACCACAGTCCCTTCTCCTCCATCCTCCTCTTGGGATTTTAGGCACACATGCACATGCACCTGCACCTGGTGTGAGCTTTAAGCTGCTGAGTCTGGGACTGGAATCTCGGTCGACTACGTGGGAGTCCGGTGACATAACCATTACTCCATCTGCTGGTCCCGACTCTGAAGTAGATTTCATCATTCTGAGCTTTGAATTCTTACTATTTCCATGTGTGCCGATATTCATTAGTTTTTCTCTGTTTGTTGAACTCACAGCCTCAGCTCATGTTTTCTTATATGTGGTTTCTTTTTTAATTTAGCATTGTCCCAATTCCTTCCTCTAATGAAGAAATTCGCTTAGTTGATGATGCTTTTGGAAAGATCTGTCACATGGTCAGTGATGGCTCCTGGGTGGTTCGAGTTCAAGCTGCAAAGCTGTTGGTAAGAGGAACTTGCTTCAGTGAGAATGTTGCCCTTTACATGTTACAAACGTTTTGAGAATCTACAGATAGGGC